CCCCGGCCCCCTCATACCAGGAGGATGCTCTCCCAGGACATCCAGCGGATGGGGAGCACCGCCCGCCCCTGGATGCGGTAGTAGTCCCCGCTGTAGAGGTTCCTGCTCATGCCAAAGTCGGCGATCTTGATGGTGTACTGCTTCCCCACCAGGCAGTTGCGTGTGGCCAGGTCTCGGTGCACGAAGTTGAGGGAGGAGAGGTACTTCATGCCGGAGGCGATCTGGGTGGCCATGAACCGCAGGTCGCTGTAGCTGCCGGGGACAAGGGAGAACTGAGGGGCCCGAAGGGTGGCAGCCAGGGGGTACACAGCCCCAGGTGGGGTGCCCCACAGCCAGGCGGAGTGCCTAGAGCGGGGTGGCACTACCTGACAGTGGGTGCCTGGCCAGCGAGAGGGCTCTCTGCCTGCTGGCGGGACAGGAATTGGTTGAGGTCTCCGTTCTCCATGTATTCGGTGATCATGCACAGCGGGTCATCAGCGATGCAGACCGCCAGCAGCCGAATGATGTTGGGGTCCTTCAGTCGTGACATGATCTTGATTTCCTTCAGAAAATCATTCCTTTCCGGAACAGAAACCACACAAATCGGATAGACAAGACCCAGAGGGACACGGAGGTGTGCACGGACCGGCCCAGCGTGCCACCTGCCTGCCCAAGCCTCGTGCAGGGCTCATGGGTCCACTTCCCTGGGACAGGCACCATAATGGGGAGCTCAGCACTGATCCATGCATGGCTGGGGGGTGGACTCAACGTGTAGGTGGGGCACTGGTCTTAACCTTGCTGGTTAGGACCAACAAGGACCGAGAGCCCTGAATCTTGGCAGTCCAGCATCCCTGGACAGCTCAGGCATATGGTGCTCACAGTTGCACCAAGCGCCTGGCCACTGGAGGCAGGTGATGCTTTTCAAGCATCCCAGCTCTCCTAGGGGTGGGGTATGTCTATGTGGGGGGCAATGCTGGGGCATTTGCACTCTCTGGCCACATACCTGGCATTCTTGTTGGCATCTGCTCGCAGCATCTTCACAGCCACCAGCACAGGGTGGTTGGAGCTGACATCCAAGCCCTCCAAAGCAAAGTCCTTGCCTGTGAACTTCTCCATCCCCTCCACTTCGCAGAGATGAACCTGGAGCAAGGCAAGGGGCAGCCACTACCTCCATCAGCTGACAGATTTCCCCTGGCCCATGCAAACTGGGAAGAGCCTTGCCCGAGCCCTGCTTGGAGCAGGTCCAGCTCCCACTCACCTCCCCAAACTGGCCTTCTCCCAGCTTCTCCTTGAAGGTCAGCAACTTCCTGGGGAACTCTTCGACAGCCACATCCTTGCCCGAGAGCAGGTCCATGGTGAGGGCTGGTACTGAGTAGGTGTTTCCTCCCGTCACACCCTGAAGGTTCACGATGTCGGCCTCAGCGTAGTGGGGGACGCCCTCAGGGACACTGGCCTGGGACAGCTTCATGGGGCCGCCGCAGCCTGGAGGAGGACAGCAGGGAGACCCCTGCTGTGGGTGTCTTGCCTGGCACCTGCTCACGCTCCAGCCATCGCCCTCTCCATCCCCATCCTCCCCAGAGCCCCCACACTGCCCCAGCACAGCTGGACTCCTGCAGGCATCGCAGGCTGCTCCACTCCGTCCCCGTCACCGACAAATGCACCAACCCATCCTCAAGAACCAGATGAGTAGGGATCAGGGCCTGACCTCCAGATCATTGAGGAAGAGATGCCACAGCATCCCAAGAACAGTGGTGGCAACACAGCTCAGCTGGGTGATGAACATCGGTTGTGGCTCTTATTTGTCTGACCTCTGAGTGGGATGTGTGGGAGTTTGTGAGACCTCCCCACCACCTCTCTGTGCCAAAATGTTTGGAGATTGGGCAAAAGCCGGGGCTGGAAAGAGGGAGCTGCAGCAAGCTGGATGCACACAGGGTGTCCCAGCTCTCACCCGTGTCCTCCCCTGGGCTGAACTCAGGCAGCTTGCGGATCAGGCGGGAGGGCTCTTGGTAGTCGGGTCCCAGGGGGAATATGCGGTCATAGGTGGAGCTGGACTCCTGCTCGCTGGAGGAGGAGGAGTGGTTGTGGTTGAACATGCTGGATTCGCTGGGCAGGGAGAGGCTGACAGTCATTTCATCATCCAGCATCCTCCGTGACGCCTGTGAGAGGGGCAAGGGAGGAGAGAGCTGGCACAGAGGGTCCCTGCAGCACTGGTGGGACAGGGTGCTCCATGGCACTTTGGCCACGCATAGCTCTGAGACCCCCGCTCTGGTGCCCTGTCTCAGGGCTGCAGTGCCTGCCTGGAGAAGGCATTTGCCATCATGTCCCCCTGCTTCTACTGTCTGCCTCTACAGAGAAGAGTTTGGCTCCATCACTCTGTGACTGCCCTTGGTTAGCTGGGAGCTGCAGTGCGACTCCCTCGGGCTCCTCTTCTCCAGCCCAGCTTCAGGACAGAGGGATGGACAGTCAGGCAGGTTGTATACTCATTGTGCTGCTCACCTAAATCCCCTTGATTGGGACATGGATACAAATCACAGCCTTCCTGAGGAGGGGAATGGAGCATCAGCCCCAGCATGGAGTCTGCTTTCCCTGTGCTGAGCTCCCAGAGGAACCTGCCTGGGATGAACCCACCAACCTGGGACATCTTGCCAGCCCCCCCCACGCTTGCCCACCTTCTCCAGCATCTTCTGCCAGAACTGCCGCCACAGTATGATGACAATGATGGCCACCAGGATGAAGATGATTGCCACCAGACACCCGATCAGGATGCGCGTGTTGCTGTCATCTACCTTGAGTGTGGGGTCTGGCAGGAGAAGGTGACAGCAAGAGGTTACGCTGGGGCATGGAGAGAGTCCCTGCCTCTTTCCACCACTGGATGGGGCAGAGACCCCCTCCCCAAAGCACTTCCCCAGCTAGCTCATGGAGATGTACTTTTCAATGCCTTACCGTAAGTCGTGGGGACCACAGGCATGTTGGGCGGCGCCACCGAGTTGTTGTACATGGCTGCATCTGGCAAGGGAGAAAAGCATAAGGTTGGGGGAATGGGTGTCCCACAGCCCCACTCCCCCCTTGAAACATCTCCCCCAGACGGTCTGATCGCTGTGGGGCCTGTGGCGGCAGGTACCCGACTGGAAGGTGATCTCGCTGAACATCATCCAGGCATCAGCAAAGTAGTACTGGCACTTGATGGCGTTGGCCATGCGGTGGAGCAGGGGCACGGTAACGAAGCGGGCACTGGGGTTCACGTCATCCAGCACCAGCACCGAGGAGACGGCACTGGGCTCCCACTCGCTGGCATCGGCGCGGAAGTAGCACTGCACCTCCTTGAAGATCTTCACCCCTTTGGCGAACATGTTGTTGCAGTGGACCTGTGAGGCAGCCCGTCAGCGTGGC